ATGATGATGATGATGATGATGATGATGATGATAACAAAGTGTGCGGCCTGGATGTAGCTCCCCCATTTCTCAGCCACACTTTCTCTGCAACAACTCTTTCCATTTCCTGCACTTTCTCCTCCTTTTCACTCTCAATCCCTGAGGCCAGACCCTTCCCAGGAATTGTGACTCATCTCTATGTTTTGATCAGAGAAATTCACTTGGCACTTCCTGGAGCGTACGGGAACCTCGAACTCGCTTCTTCACGCTCAGCTCTGGACTCAAGTGAGAACAAGCATTACAGCTGGGCCAGACAGAGCCTAGCAAAAAAAAAAATGAACTGCCGACAATCCCCAGGAATCCTGGAGCACTAGAAATATTATTTTAATATTTTAATATTTAATATTTTAATTAAAAATATTATTTAATATTTTTAAGGGGTGGGTGAGTTAGGGAATGGGTTATTTGGATCTTGTTTTAACTTGTTGCGATGTTTTTAACTTGTTGTATGCCGCCCCGATTGCACTGCAGAGAGGCGGGATAAAAATAAATTATTATTATTATTATTATTATTATTATTATTATTATTATTATTATTATTATTATTATTATTATTTTAGGATTAAAAAGAAATCTGGGAATACACTCAGTACTGGAGAGCCAGAGGTATTTCCTTCTGCTTTTGGCAGAGATGGATTTCATTGCATTAACACATCCTTCAAGTACAATCAAAGACTTGCAATTAAAAGTGGCAATTAAAATGGAATTATTCAATTAATATTAAAACAGATCATTTGTTTGAAAAATAGAATACAATTTGAAAAGACAAAAGCACTGAAAAACTATGCACTTTAAATATTGTCATTTGTACTTCTGCACAGTACTATCAATTTATCTCTGAGGCTGAGAGAGTGTGACTTGCCCAAGGACACCCAGTGGGTTTCTGTGGCTAAGTGAGGATTCAAACTCTGGTCTCCCAGTATCCAAAACTCAAACCATTAAACCATGCTGGCCTTTCTGAGAATAATGGTTGTTGTTGTGCCTTCAAGTGATTTCCAATTTATGGAGACCCTAAAGTGACCAAGGTTTTCACTCTTCAGTTGAATAGGGTTTTCTTGGCAAGATTTGTTCAGAGGGGGTTTGCCTTCGCCTTCCATAGAGGCTGAGAGAGTGTGACTTGGCCAAGGTCACCCGGTGCGTTTGCGTGGCTGAGCAGGGATTCGAACCCTGGTCTCTAGAGTCATACTCCAATATTGAAACCACTACACCACACTGGCTCATGTTAGAATAATGCATATTTTTGACCAGATAGGAATTATAGAAGAATATATACCAGACATCCTCCTTTTCCAGGACATGTCCTCCATTTCAACCTCCTTTCCAAGAGGAATTCCAAAAAGTCCTCCATTTTGAGCATGGCTAGGAGGAAAGAATTTACATTTATATGAGGGTTTTTAGCTTTTATTTTGGAATGCCCTACACTTTTTCTGAAATATCCCATTTTTTGTGGCGCTTTGTCCTCCTTTGCAGTTATGAGATCTGGGATTGTGCTTAAAAAATTGAATACAATTTAGGGTTTTGCTTGTCTTAATCCAGCCCTGGGTGCAACGGATATTGGGACGCTTTCCATAAAGGAGTGATGCTACAGAAGGATTTGTACAGATTGCCTCCCTTTTACATAATAACAAGTCCATTTCATTTGTTCAATTTAACTTCCAAAAACAAGTTTCTGCATGCAAAAAATGAGGGCAAGGCTCCTCTCGCTTTCAGAATCCTGCAGAAAAGAAGAGAAGAAGAGAACTTAATTCTGAAAGATATAGGGACCCTAGCTTTTGCAAGTGGAAACTTGTCCCTGAGGCTGAGAGAGTGTGACTTGCCCAAGGCCATTGGCCTCCAGAGTCATAGTCCAACACTCAAACCGCTATGCCACGGTGGTACATAGACATTAAAAAAAGGAGTGCATAGGGATGCTAAGGCAACCATGGGATACGTAGTTTACCTTTGCACCCATTGCAAGTCTGGAGATGAATTTGGAACTGCTGATAACTAATCCTAGCACATGGTTGCTTTGTTGCTATCTTTGCATGCTGAGAACAAGGTATCTAAAAGAACAAACACGATCGCCCGTGGAAGAAAGACTTTCCCAGAGTAAATGAATAGGAAAGGAGGGTGCTATTGAACATTTTAATCTGTCAAATGTTGAAACATATGGACACAATTGGGAAAACCAAGGAGCCTAGGTGAAATCTTGGGTTGCCTTTCATCTTAAGGACTTTGATACCTCCCCAAAATAAAAAAGAAATAGTTGTCCTGCTACTATATCTGTTACATTGTAAGTCATAGTTGCAATGCTTAATTGCATTTCAAACTTTTTCTCCAGAGAGCTCAAGAATTAGGTCTCTCTTATCCAGAATTCCAAAATTTTTATTTTTATTTCAAGTATTTCCAAAATCCATATACTCTAAAATAACAAAACCATCCACATGGGTGGCTGAGAGAGTGATGCCTTTGCTTTCCGATGGTTCGGTGTACAAAAAACTTTCTTTCTTTTCATAGTATATTCCCATAGATTTAATTTCTTTCTTTTCATAGTATATTCCCATAGATTTAATTATATTCCCATAGATTTAATTTCTTTCTTTTCATAGTATATTCCCATAGATTTAATTTCTTTCTTTTCATAGTATATTCCCATAGATTTAATTTCTTTCTTTTCATAGTATATTCCCATAGATTTAATACCACTCTTAAATTATTTTTCAAATGTCTGTTTGGTAAAAAACCCAGCCTGATCCTCCTGAATCCAATTTTTTTAAATATAATTTTAAATCTATCCGCAAAAATTGAAACAAAGATCTTATAATCTAAAAGTTTAAAAGTGATATCAGCCTGTCATTTTTCGCTTCCAATGATTCTCTTCCTTCTTTTGGTATCAATACAATTAAGGCTTCTTCCCAAGATTTTGGCTTATTGAAATAAGTGAAATATTACTTTCAGGTTACATGTGTAAGGTGTATACAGAACATAAAGGGTGTGGGATATAGGAATTTTACATTATCTCTTGTTTTTAAGTTATGCTGTATGCCGCCCCGATTGCTGAGCAGAGGGGCAGCTTAGAAATAAAAATTATTATTATTATTATTATTATTATTATTATTATTATTATTATTATTATTATTAATGAATTACATGATTTAGACTCGGAACCAATCTCCAAAATATATCTCATTAAATGAATTTTAAATGAATAAGTAGCATGCTTACTTTGGAAGAACTATGGAAGGTTTTTTTTTTGTATATTGGTAATATTTTGAATAGATTGAGTATGTACTCAAGATTAAGAAATGTATATAATGTATATATATAAAATTAATTTAAAAATATATATCTCATTAAGTATATACAATTATTCCAAAATCTGGGGGCGGGGGATCCCAAAATCCAAAGTATCTCCTCCCTGCCAACAAGAGGAAAGTCACATATTCACGGCCCTATGGTGAACTCAATGGCAGATTTCTTATTGTAAATCTCCCTTTCTTGGCATTTCCTCCTCCTCCCAGCAAGCCATTTCCCAGCATTCGGATCATTGTGGGCATGAAGGATCTTGTCGAAAGGATTGCCTCCTGAAAACAAGTCCAAGTGCCCAAAGAGAACGATTCATGAGAAACAGGTTTGCAAAACTCTTGGACAAAGGTGCCATCTGAAAACAATGTTGGCCTGCCATTTCAGAAGCTCAGGAAGAAAGAAATTCTTGCCCATTGAAAGCCACTGCATCATTCTAGGATGTCCTTGGGCATATACAGAGCGGTCCAGATGCAGTGTCACATTGTTGTTGCTGTTGTTGGGTGCCTACAAGTTGTTTCTGGACATACAAAGCGGTTTTCATGGCCAGATTTGTTCAGAGGAGGTTTGCCATTGCCTTCTTTTGAGGCTGAGAG